GGCGGGCGGGGCGCCCGGCCGCGGCGCGGCTACACCAGGTTGTACTCCTTCAGGTTGAGCTGCAGGATGGTGTCCTTCACCGCCGCGAACACGAAGCGGATGTTCTCCGTGTCCGTGGCGCACGTGAAATGCGAGTAGATGATCTTGTCGCTGTCGGGGTTCAGGTCCACGAACATCTTCAGGATGAACTCGCGGGCGGCCTGCGCGTCCCGCTGGGGCCCTGCGCACAGCGGGGGAGGGGCTCACGTGGGGGCCACCCGAGGGGCCCCCACTCAGTCCCCTCCAGGCTGGGCCAAGTCCTGCCTGCCAGGTGCAGCGGGCACTGCTCCCCACCCGCCATCCTGCTGGCTCTGGGGTGCAGGGAAGGAGGAGGGCATCCTGCACGAGGGGGCCTCGGGAGGGCACAGGATTGCACCCTGGATCCTCCACAGCAGAGCTGGAGACCCCAGGAGGGGCTGGGAAGGGCACACGGTATTGGGGGGGTTGGGCAGGTGCTGTCCCTACACCATACACCAGGGAGAACAAGAACTCTGAGCCGAGCCACATACATCACTACTGTGAACCCCCCCTTTCTGCTGCTTTCCAGCACTCTGACCCCCCTGGGGCCTCTGGGGGGTCAACACTGAGAGGAAGCTGCAGAGGGTTCCCCAGCAGCTCTGAAGGACCAGGCCAGCAACAGCTGCCTGCCCAGGGCCAGGCCACGCCCCTCACCCCCACTGCCTGCCTGCTTCACTCCGGCCACACCGCGCACCCCCCACCCCAGGGCCGGCCTCAGCGCCCCTCACCGTCAAACTCCGGGAAGTAGTCGACGAGATGCGAGTGCAGAACCTTGTCCTCCAGCAGGTCCTTCTTGTTGAGGAAGAGGATGACGGAGGAGTTCTGGAACCAGGGGTAGGTGATGATGGTGCGGAAGAGCGCCTTGCTCTCCTCCATGCGGTTCTGAGGGAGGAAGGTGGTGTGTGAGCAGGCTGCCCATTTGCCTGCCGTGGGGACTTGCGGCGCACCCCCCCCACCCCAGGGGAGCCCCACGCACCTCATTATCAGACTCCACCAGGACCTGGTCGTACTCGCTGAGCGCCACGAGAAACATGATGGACGTGACGTTCTCAAAGCAGTGGATCCACTTCCTCCTCTCTGATCGCTGTCCACCCACGTCCACCATCCTGTAAGCCAATGGGCGCTCAGCCCCACCCCTGAGGCGGACCCCGACTCCACGTCTGCAGGGGCATCCCTGGGTGAGCCGGGCAGCGTGGCGCCTCATCTCCCCTCTCCCCACATATGGACCCTGGACATGTGGGGACCACTGTCAGCCTCTGTGTCAGGAGCCTAGAAAGGGTCCTCTCCTCAGAGCAGGGGTGTCTGGGGTTTCCTCAAGACTCCAGGACCCCAGCTTAGAACCTGCACAGAGGCTGGATAGGGAGGAAGCCTCCCCACCCCCCCCACTCCAGCCCCCCGCCTCTAGGCCCTGGCACAACCAAGCCCATACACAGAATGGCACTGCGCAGTGAGAACACACAGCCCTACTTCTGCCCTGGCGGCCCCAGGACTCACGCACTGGGCCTTGCCCTCTGGTGGCTCTGAATAAGCTGGGGTGCTGTGCAGGTGCGAGAGACCTGTCTATCCGCAGGTACCCAGCCGCCAGTGGCCAAGCCAGGCCTGCAGCCCAGGCCCCTGGGCCCTCAGTCCTCCTCCCTGGCTGTGGCCTCCCCATCCCCCGCGGCCTCCTCCCCTCCTCCCCCACCCCCCTGCATGGCACCTGAAGATGATGTTCTCCAGGTCGAAGGGGTACTCGATGATGCCAGTGGTGGGCACGCGGACCCGAAGCACGTCCTGCTGGGTGGGCAGGTAGCCCACGGTGGCAATGCGGTCCACGTCAGTCAGGTAACTGCAGCACAGCATGGAGGGGCTGCTCAGGGACTGCTGTCCCAGGACAGCAGGACGGGGACAGGACAGGGCTAGGGCCTGGCACTGTGATGCCTGCACTGGATAGTGGAGCTGCCTGGATTGTTCTGGATTGGGGACAGAAGTGACAGGAACAAGGAAAGCTCCTGGGACAGCTGAAGGGAAGCACGGGGCGGGCCCCAGTGCACCATGGGAACTGCTCCATGGCACAGCCCTCTGGCTCTGGGACTCCTAGGAAACCCTGGAGGGCTGGGCCCGGGGCAGGCGCGCCGGCACTCACTACTTAGCCACTCACTACTTAGCCGAGTCGGAGAGCTGGAACTCGCGCCGGCGGTCGTAGCACTCCTGGATGCCGGGGTCGTTCCACAGCGTCTTGATGGCGTTCACATACTGCTGCTCGAACGTGGTTACCTTCTCCACGTCCACCTCCCGGATCAGGAGTGCGTTGGCCTGTGGGCAGGAGGAGGAGAGGCTGAGTTCACAGGGCACCTGGCCCCGGCTGGGAGACCTGACAGCTGCCACGTGGTCGGGTCGCTGCCCCACGGGCATGGGCACCACGGCTCTCGGGGAAGTGGGGTCCTAGCATGTGGCAGCGAGGGACTCTGGGGTATGGCGCTCTGTCCAATTTGTTTCCAAAGGCGACACAGCCTTGTCACACACCGGCAGCAGAGGCAGAGACCAGGAGGCTCTCAGCTGACAGGCACAGTGACACACGCCCGTCGTCTTGGCTTATGGGGTGCATCCGTGGGGTTGCAGTACAGGCTGGTCCAGTCAAAAACAGGAGACTCACTTTCCTAAACGTTATAAAACTACACTTATACCTTATTCAAGGACAGTATTTTTTTTTTTTTGGTCGGTTGTGGGGCTTGAACTCTGGGCCTGGGCCCTATCCCTCAGCTCTTCAGCTCAAGGCGAGCACTCTACCACTTGAGCCACAGCACCACTTCCGGTTTTCTAGTCGTTTATTGGAAATAAGTGTCTCACGGACTTTCCTTGCTCGGGCTGGCTTTGAACCATGATCCTCAGATCTCAGCCTCCTGAGTCATTAGGATTACAGGCGTGAGCCACCAGCGCCTGGCTAAGGACAGTATTTTTAATGTACGTGTACTATAAGGACTGTGTGAAATAGTTTGCAAAGGGCTGGGAAGGTGGCTCAGTGGTAGAGCACTTGCTTTGCATGCATGAGGCCCTGGGTTCGATTCCTCAGCACCACATAAGCAGAAAAGCCAGAAGTGGTGCTGTGGCTCAAGTGGTAGAGCGCTAGCCTTGAGCTGAAGAGCTGAGGGACAGCACCCAGGGCCAGAGTTCAGGCCCCATGACCAGACCCAAAAAAACAAAAAAACAACAACAAAAAAGAAATAGTTTGCAAAGTGGGTTCCTTTACAGAGAATTTTCTGATGTTCTAATACATAAGCTTGTATTGTCTCCATTCAAAAAACAAAACAAAACACAGAAGAAAATGATCAGAGTAAAAAGGACTGGGTACCAGGCTAGCAACTTTTAAGGCCTGGAAGTCATACCCAGTACCACCAAAAATTAAAAGAAAAAAGAAAAAGAAAAGCCAGCTGAACACTGATAGCTCATGCCTGTAATCCTAGCTACTGAGGAGGGTGAGATCTAAAGATCACAGTTCAAAGCCAGCCTGGGCAGCAAAGTCCCTAAGACTCTTATCTCCAGTTAACCACTAGAAAGCCAGAAGTGGTGCTGTGGCTCAAAGTGGTAGAATACTAGCTAGCCTTGAGCATAAAAGCTCAGGGACAGTGATTAGACCCTGAGTTCAAGCCCCATGACCGACCCCCTATTCCCCCAAAAAAGAAGAGCCAGACATCAAGGTTCATGCCTGTAATCCTAGCTTTACAGTAAGCTGAGATCTGAGAATTGTCATTCAAAGCCAGCCCAGGAAGGAAACTGAGACTCTTATCTCCAATTAACTACCAGAAAACCAGAAGTAGAATTGTGGTTGAAAGTAGTAAGAGTATTAGCCTTGAGCAAAAATGCTCAGGGACAGCACCTAGGCCCTGAATTCAAGCCCCATGACCGACCAAAAAACAAAAAAAGGGAAGAAAGGAAAAGCCAAGCAAGAACACAAGTCTTTGAGTTCAAGCCCTAGTGCCAGCAGAAAATAAACCACACCAGGCACTGGCGGCTCACGCCTGGAATCCTAGCTACTCAGGAGGCTGAGACCTGAGGATTGAGCTTCAAAGCACCTGGGCAGCAAAGTCCATGAAACTTTTTTTTTTTGGTTGGTCGTGGGGCTTGAACTCTGGGCCTGGGCGCTGTGCCTGTGCTTTTCAGCTCAAGGCGAGCGCTCTACCACTTGAGCCACAGCACCACTCCATGAGACTCTTATCACCAATTAATCATCAGAAAACTGGAAGTGAAACTGTAGCTCAAGTGGTAGAGCACTCGCCTTGAGCTGAAGAGCTCAGGGACAGTGCCAAGGCCTAGCGTTCAAGCCCCATGACTAGGGAAAAAAAGAAAGAAAGAAAGAAAATAAACTACGTTTGGGTCAAGCATGGTGGCACATTCCTATAATCTCAGCACTCAGGATGCAGAGGCAGCAGGATCTCAAGTTCTGGGCCAGGTTGGGCTAGAGTGAGACACTGTCCCAAAAAGACAAGGGGCAGGCTGCAGCTCAGTGCTGTGTGTTTGTCTGGCAAGGGGCAGGCTGCAGCTCAGTGCTGTGTGTTTGTCTGGCAAGGGGCAGG